CTATCTACCTATCTATTTATCTATCTATCTATCTATCTATCTATCTATCTATCTATCTATCTATCATATGTGTGTGTGTGTGTTTGTTCAGCAACTAGCTGAATTATTTAGCATGTTTAATTAATTTTTGTGTAAAATTGCCTATAAATTTGGTCATTGCCTACATAATGGATCAAGAAAGAGACTTCTGCTGATATTAGTTCTGGTTCGTTTATCACACTGGAAACAGAAGTTCAAGTCACACACTTGTGCACAGTAAATACAGGCCTGTTGCAGGAATAGTAGTGTGTAGTAGTGTGCTAGTATGCTTGTCTGCGCTAGTCTCTGAAGGACCAAGCTATCTCGCCTCATTCTCTTGTTAATTTGCTGCTCACTGCCAACAGTTTAAGTGAAGCATCAGTGTCTAATTGACGGCCTGACCAATTAGTGGCCAGAGCTTCCTCCTGATTGTGTAGCTGCTCTTAAATCGGAACTAAAGACTAGAGCTAATCAATGGCTCTGCGAGTCCGTGCGATAACCTAAGGACCCTCTCTGGCTGCTTAACTCCAGGAGCACAGCTCTGTGAGGCAGACAAAGTCAAATTAAACTGCAATATTGAATGTAAGACTAGAACTGGATTACGCCCACATCCGATACATGTATTTGTCGGCTTGGTGCACATGCAGATTTTCTCTTCTAGTGCGTCCATGCCAGAATTCCCACAAGACAGGAAGTGTACAGGAGAGCGAGAATTGTAATTAGATGGCGTTCTGCTGTAATCCGCTGTATGTGTGCAGGGAGCTATCAGCAACACGATATGGAATCGGTCCAGTTTTCCAGCAGCTGGAAGAAGCAAGTACAGCGCCCTCTCTAGGCTCTCTACAGTTACCTGACGAGGCTTGTCTGATGCCCACAGCATGTGTGCAGTGTTTTATCTGCCAGATGATGATATTTGCAACAGTTTCAAGATCAGAAAGTCTTTAATGTTTCAGATTTCCAGCAGAAGGAAATTTATCTGCCAGTCATTTTATGCCGCCTCAATACTACACAAAGTTTGGTTAAAATAAAGAAGTTGTGATTTCTACAGTTTTCGCAGATCTCAATTGCACAAGATATCACAATCAAAATGTAATTACTATTACCTACCTAGCATAATTTAACTTATGATGCATTAATAATTAGACAAACTATATTATAATTAGAATACAAAAATATAACACTCTGTCTATAAATATATCAAGTTATAATATTAAATGGATAGTTCACCTAAAAATAAAAATTGTCATAATTTATTCACCCTCAAGTTGTTCCGAAACTGTATGAGTTTCTTTCTTCTGAAGATATTTTGAAGAACCAAACAGACGACGGTAGCCATTGACTTCCATAGTATTTTTTCCATACTATGGAAGTCGATGGCTACCGTCAACTGTTTGGTTACCAAGATTCTTCTTTTGTGTTTTTTATATATATATATATATATATATATATATATAATAAATACATTCATGCTAAATGTAGTAGTAGTAGTAGTACTACTACTACTAATTGTTATTATTATTATTATATGATTTTATTGTTTTTGTTACTCCTATTAATATTTCTTTGACTTATTTTATCAATTTAGTATTTCTATGAATAAAAAAATAAGCAAAATGATTGTGTGCACATGAACAAAAGTGTTTTTTTTTTTTTTTTTTTTTTTTTGTGTAACA